GGATCCACAATATTCTTTCTAAGTGCTTTCAACACCAAGTCTCCTTCCTTGATGTTTCTTGTCTTGACCTTTTTATTGAAGTGTCTGTGCATACGGTTTTGCATGGTAGCATTGGACATGATACAAGGCTTCCTACTGCTTTGCATCTAGTAGAACTAGCTTTTTGTATCGAGCTCTTGTCCATTCAACCTCATTAAGCATACTTTCCAACGCTATGTGTAAGGAAGGTATTTCTAGCTCTACAGGTTGTACGGCGTCCATTCCATAGACTAGGGAGAATGGCGTAGTTCCTGTGGATGAGCGAATGGACGTGCAGTAACCCCAAAGAGCCAAGTAGAGTTTGTCAGGCCAATCATTGTAATTTTCTGTCATCTTTTCGATGATTGTCTTTAGCTTTTTATTGGCTGCTTCTACCGCACCATTTGCTTGGGGTCTATATGGAGAAGAGTGATGATGTTGAATATCATACTTTTTAAGTAGGTCTTCACACTCTGCTTGAAAGTGAGTTCCATTGTCACTTACCATTTCATATGGGAACTCCATATCAACGTATGATATTTCTCTCGATGAAGAGTGCCACATGCTTTGCGGTGAGTTTTGCGTAAGATGCCACTTGAACCCATTTGGTGAAATAATCTAAGGCAATGAGAATGTATTCATGGTCTAGGAGGAGTGATCATTCTAATGATATCTATTCCCCAAGTTGAGAACGGCCATGGTGAAATGTAAGTGTAAAGTAGGGAAGGTGGAACATGTTGCAAATTAGCTTATATTTGGCATTTCGCACATCTCTTCACATAGTGATGGAAATCTCTTTCCATGGTAGTCCAATAATAACCTTGGCGCATGATCTTCTGGACTAGCATTTTACCATTCATATGTGGTCCACATGCTCCTTCGTGGATAACTCTCATTGCCTTTGGAGCTTCCTTTTTGCCTACCCATAGGAGAACTCTTCCTTTAGGTACCCTTTTGTGATGTTCACCTTCTATCAGTACGAACTGTGAGGCTAAGAGTCTTAAGGCATGTTTCTCTCTTTTGTCAGCATTAGGTGGATCCGCTTTGGTGACATAGTTTAGAATGTCTGTATACAATGGTTGTTGTTCATCCTCTTGGATTTCTTCTTCATCCTCAATGGCTTAAACAAGCAGGCTTATGCCTTTTCTCTATGGTTAAAGGCATTTTCTCAATTTCCTTAAGAATTCTAACCATCGAGGCTAGTCTTGCCAAGGCATCAACAAATTGGTTTTCCTCTCTAGGTAGGTATGTGTACTCGACCTTTTTTAGTTGATCGGTGAGAGTTTCTTAGTAGGTTTGATATGGAGCGAGACTTTCACTCCTCACCTTTCATCTCTTGGAAATTTGGTTGATGATAAGGGACGAATCTCCGAATATTCGAAGTTTCTTAACTGCCAGTGCTAATGCTGTTTCGAGGCCTACCACACATGCTTCATATTCCGCAGCATTGTTGGTAACGTTGAAGTCGAGCTTTATGGAAATTGGGAAATGCACTTCTTTGGGTGACACTAATAGGACTTCTACGCCACATCCTTTTTTGTTAGATGCACCTTCAAAGTATAGTATCCAAGTGTCATCCTCAGTGACCATCAACTCTTCGTCAAGAAAATCATTTTCTTGCACTAGTGTTGAGTCTTCAATTGGAAAGTCTGCCAAGAAATCAAAGATTGTAGATCCCTTAATGGACTTTTGAGGCATGAACCTTTGGTCAATTTGAGCTAAGTTAACTATCCATCTTGATATTCTTCCATTAAGTGTGGATTTCTCGAATAGATATTTGAGAGGATCCATTCGAGACACCACATGGACTGTGTGAACGAGCATGTAATGCCTTAACTTCGTTGTGGCCCACATAAGTGCGAGGCACAACTTCGCAAGTGGTGTGTAGGAGACTTCATATTCAAGCATTTTCTTACTTAGGTAGTAGATGGCATTCTCCGTGCCTTTCACTTCTTGTGCGAGCATAGCCCCCATTGTCTCTTTGGAGACTATCAAGTATAGACTAAGAGGAATGTTTGGTAATGGTGGCGCTAGTACAGGAGGATTTGCAAGGTAGGCTTTAATCTTATCAAAGGCTTCTTGACACTCGTTGTCCCATATCACTGGTACGTTCTTCTTGAGTTTCTTGAATATGGGTTCACACAATATGGTGAGTTTTTGATATGAACTTACTTATGTATTGCAATTGGCGAATGAATCCTCAAATTTGCTTCTCGGTCTTGGGCGGCGACATTGACATGATAGCCTTAATTTTAGTGGGGTCTATTTCAATTCCTCTAGAGCTATTGACATAGCCTAGAAGTTTTCTTGAGGTAACCCTGAATGCACACTTGGCTTGATTTAATCTCATGTTGTACTTGCGAAGCCTTTCGAAGAATTTTCTCAAGGCTATTTGATGACCAAGGCGATCCTTAAATTTTACAATCATGTCGTCCACGTACACCTCGACTTTTTTATGCATCATGTCATGAAGTAAGGCAGTTGTTGCTCTTTGGTACGTGGCACCTGCGTTTTTCAACCCGAATGGCATCACCATATAGCAGTAAGTGTCCCATGGTGTTATGAAGGTAGTCTTTTCCATGTCTTTTGCCATGAGAATTTGGTTATAGCCTGCGTACCCATCCATAAATAAGAGAAGTGCGTGATTGGATGTACTATCTACTAGAATGTCGATGTGTGGTAGAGGGTGATGGGTGGCATTTATGCCACCATTTTACCCTTTTTCACTAGTGAATTCCCCTTATTTGTCACTTGTTTGTACCTCTTATTACCCTTTTTACCTTTATTTTAGTTACTTTCGCTCTTTCTCGTGTTGTTCCTTTTCCTTTGCTTTTTACCCTTTATTTGTTCATTTTGATAGCTCCTAGCACTCGTGAGCGGAATTGGAATTGCTAAGCAGAGTCAAAGTTGCTAGAGTTGCTTGTTCCAAGGAAAGGAGATGAAAAAGGGGAGAGGGCGCACTTCCAAAACAACCCGCGGGCGCGGGGGTTATAGCCGCAGGCGTGGACATGAATTCAATCGCAGCGGGCGCGGGTGCCATTGCCACGGGCGCGGACAGAGACCTTGAGTTCAACACCCAGTTTCTGGAGATGGATGGGAGATGGCAAGGAAAGGGAGCATCCCTAGTAGCCGCGGGCGCGGCATAGGTGGCCGCGGACGCGACGAGCTGGGTTTTGCCAACTACGTACCCACAACAGAGAGGGCGCGACAGCCTTGTTGGAGAGGCCTCTCCCTCACCCATTTCCTTTGTTTTATCAAGAAGCTATATATAGTATTTAGCTTGAATTTCATGAGAACTTCTTCTTGGCTATCATTCACTATTCCATTGAAAAACATTGTAGAGAGAGAACATCAAGATTTTAGACAGAGAAAGTAGCTTAACCTTCAAGTTTCCATTGATGTAATTAAGATATTTTCCAGTTTTCTTCAAGCTTTCAACTTTTCAATACAACTAGTCCATGTTTGCTTAATCCTTCAAGTTTAATAATAGTAATCTCTTTATCCCTATCTTTTATATGATTTTATTACTCTTAATAGTGTTTATTTCCATATAGATTTTTGTGTTTACTTATTTTATTGTCTTTTCTGTGGTTTTGAATCATGTTTAGTTTTGTTGGGATTGAATACATGCTTAGTGTAGTTAATATGGCTATTTTCCTTTCTCTAGCTTAGATCTCTAGCTAGGGAAGGGGGTGAAAACCGTGGTAGATTGAGTTTACATTGATGATTGATTGGGTTTTGCCTTGAGTTGATGATTGTGTGCTTATTATGCTTGGAGCTATTGTTGTGCACCTCTAGCCCCAATATTTGAGTTCTAGATTAGATGCATGAGAATGATCTAGTTTAGGTTTGATCGATTTCATTGACTTGCTTTGGGTGATTGCATGAGAATGAATCAATTTGAGTAGAGTTTATGCTCATTGGCATGAATCCATGATGATTATCATTGTTGTCTTAGTAGATCATGATTCGAACCCCCACTCCCTAGTGTTTTTGATCATATTTTCATTAATATCTTATCTTGCATCTCTATTTTAGTGACTCTAGTTTAACTCTTTTATTTGCTTGTTTTAATCACTTCTTAGTAGATAGCTTAATCTTGGATATTATCAAATACAAACCAATATACCCCTTGTCACTTGCAAAAGATTCCTTATTTCACCTTGATTGTGCAATACCCTGTTTTCCTGTGGTTCGACCCTAGCTTACCACTATCTAGTGAAAACTTGATAGAGTTAGGTTAGGAATATAAATTGTTGATTTGATCTAGGGTAGTATACCAACGACCTATTGTCCTCCGATCAAATTTTTGGCGCCGTTTTCGGGGAAACGACTTGTTTTGCACTCTTATTGTGTTATTATTGGATTTATTGCTTTTTTATTTTGTTCCTTTACTCTCTTTCTAGTCATTGCTAATTATTTGCTTAGCTTTGGTGGATGCAAAGGAGATCTCAAGGACCTCCTACACACTACATTGACCACGAAATATACCGCACTTTGAGACAAGTCCGAAGACTTTATTAAGAAGAGGGGCGAGGTCTTGGTGCTATTTTTTATAGTGAGAGTGATTCTTGGTTTTCAAATTCTCAAATCGAGGAAATGGCGAGGCAAGAAGATGATGTTTTGTTTCGTGAGTTTGGGAATCCCAAGGATTATGAGCTCACGGGAGGGATTTTGCTACCCGTCACGGAAACCAACTTTACCATTCATCCTCAATACACTAGATGGTACAAGCGGAACAATTTTTGGGTTCTCCAAGTGAAGATCCTATTAAGCACCTTGATAGATTCCTTGAGCTTTGTGCCATGATTCAAACCAATCAAGTTTCTCAAGAATACATCCGTATGCACTTATTTCGAAAATCTCTTTCGGGTAGGGCAAAGAAGTGGCTCAAATAAGTCAAGCTAAATTCTCTTACAACATGGAGAGAGATAGTCAAGGCATTTTTGAAGAGGTTCATTTCCGAAGAAAAGACCGCCGAGATGAGAAGGAAGATTGCATCATTTGAACAAGAAGCGGATGAGAGTCTTAGTGAAGCTTGGGAAAGATTCAAAGAGTTGGTACAAGCATGTCCTCACCATGAATACAATCGAAGCTTGCTCATGCGATTCTTCTATGATGGATTGGAACCTATGTCTAGAGCTAACTTAGATGCGGGGGCGGGTTGCCAATTGATTAAGGTCCCCCAAAATCAAGTTGAAACAACAATTGAAGAGGTAGTGAAGAACTACTCTTGGGGTGTTAGAAGGAGGAACGCACCAAAGAAGGGTGGAAAGTATGAATTGGAGAAGCTTGATCAATTACAACAACAAATTGAGCTTTTAAAAAAAGGGCTTGCAAAGTTGAATACGAGTGTCAATAGTGGGGCAAGTTCCTCTCAAGTCAATTCTTTCTCTTGTCAAAATTGTGGTGGAACGAACCACGATACATATTATTGTGTAGGTTTGAGCCCCAAGCATGTGGCGGCATACAACACGAGGCAAGATGGATATAGGGGAAGTGGCGGTGGAGTAGCTTGAAGGCAACCACCAGCCGAATTTTCTCATCAACCTCAACAATGGAATCAACAAGCTCAACAATCATACAACTCCAACTCTCAATACCTAAACCCACCTTATTTCAAACCCTAAACCCAAGAGGAAACTACCCAAGAAGCAACCAACACAATAATCAAAACCAATACCACAATCAAAATCAAGCGGCTCAAAGGAGTCAAGAGCAAGCATCTCAACCCGATTTTACTCAAACCCAAATTCTTCAAAAACTTCAAGCCATGAATCAACAAATGTAAGAGGTCAAGGCTCATAACAAGATGGTTGATTCACAACTAGCTCAATTGACCGAGAGAGTCCCTTTTAACTCACCTTCTACTCTACCCGGATAATCACAAAATAACCCTTCCAACATTATAAAACCCGACTCTTGCAAGGCAATCACATTGAGATCGGGTACATCCTATGAGGGTCCTAAGGAGGGAAATAGTGAGGAAAAGAAGGAAGGAGAAGAGAGTGTGGGTGAAGTCAAGGAAGTTGAAGAAGAGAAGGTTGTTGAGAAAGAGAGAAGTATGGAGAAGCAGAAGCTTAAACATGAGAATACAACTTCGACTCCTAGTGAAGTTAGGAATCTTGATGGGCCGGTTCCATTTCCCGGTCAACTGGCGGAGAGGAAGTTAAATGACAAGTTTGCAAAATTCCTTAGTGTGATGAAGAATTTGCACATCAACCTACCTTTCATCGAAGTTGTTACACAAATGCCTTCATACTCCAAGTTCCTCAAGGATATTCTCACCAATAAGAGGAAGCTCAATGATGAGCTCATCACTCTTCCCCATCAAGTGAGTCCACTTGTTCAATATAAGATGCCCAAGAAGAAAAAGGATCCGAGAAGTTTCACTTTGCTGGTAAAGATTGGGAATATGGAAGCTAGGGGCGCCTTAGCCGATCTTGGAGCAAGTGTTAGTTTGATTCCTCTATCCATTGCTAAAAAGCTTAACATTGAAATGATCCCTACAAGGAAGACTATCCAATTAGCCGACCGTTCAGTGAAGTTGCCTTGTGGTGAGCTTGAAGATGTTCCTATTCAAGTTGGGCATATTTATGTGCCTTGTGATTTTGTAGTGATGGATATGGAAGAAGATGTTGATACTCCTTTGATTTTGGGTCGTGAAGCTCTTAAGACTTTGGGGGCGGTGATCAATTGCAAGAACAACACCATTACATGTGAGGTTTCCGATGAAAAGATTATGTTTGAGTTCTCTAAGTTGCTCAAGACCCCCATGGTTGAAAAATTCTATAGGGTCGATGTTGTGAATGAGGAGTATGATCGTTTAGGAAGGGTTATGATGAAGCCACAAGACCCAATGGTTGAAGCTCTTACATGCAAGGAAGAATATCACTCTTAAGAAGCAAAAGAGTTTTTTATGGCCATGGAGGAAACTTAAATGGAGGAAGACCATGAACAACAAGAGGATAAAGAAGATCTTGAACTAGAGGAGAAAATGGAGGAGAGTTCCACCCAAGGTAGAACTCAAACCCCTTCCCCCCTCTTTGAAATATGCTTATCTTGGAAATGAAGGGGAATACCCTATTAATTTTAATGATACCCTTGATGGTCTTGATTTGGAAAAATTGCTTGTTGTGTTGAGAAAATATAGAGATGTGATAAATTATAGCATCGATGATATCAAGGGTATTAGCCACTCTTTGTGCATGCATTGTATTCATCTTGAAGATGATCAATCCATCTCAATTGAGCCTCAAAGGAGGTTGAACCCCAACCTCCAAGAGATTATCAAGAAGGAAATCTTGAAATTGCGTGAAGCGGGCATAATCTATGCTATCTACGATAGCAAGTGGGTTAGCCCGGTTCACGTGGTTCCAAAGAAAGGTGGAATGACCATCGTCAAGGGAGAAGGAGGAGAGGAAATCTCCACCCGGACGGTAACCAGGTGGAGAATGTGTATTGATTATAGGAAGTTGAACAAAAATACAAAGAAAGACCATTTTCCTCTCCCCTTCATGGACCAAATGTTGGAGAGACTTTCTAACCATGCTTTCTTTTGTTTATTGGATGGACATTCCGGATTTTTCCAAATCCCTATCCACCTAAATGACCAAGAAAAAACTACTTTCACATGTCCATATGGAACATTTGCGTACCAAAGAATACCATTCGGGTTATGCAATGCCCCTTCAACATTCCAACGATGCATGACTTCCATTTTTTCGGAAATAATTAACATAGAGTCACAAAACAATCGGAATAAAATCCCGAAGTACCAAGTAAAATCGAAGCACAAAGCTTCGAGCACTTAAGCTCGGCTAGCAGGGCTGCACACGTAGCCCGCATGTTGCTGCCGAACCAAGTGCGTGGGTGTGTGCAAGCAGATGTTGTTAGACGCGTGGGAGTGGTGCAACAAGCAGAAACCGGCAAGCACTGTCAGGCAACAACAAGCTTGCAAAATCCATGACTGCTAGGCAGCGAGCAATGAGGGAGCTTGTAGACACAGGAGCACGTTGCCAACGCCAGTAGCGTGCATGCATGCGAAGCATGCTGCAAAGCTCCCGGTGGCAGCAAGTGCCTTGGTGCGTTCCTAGTTGTGCGTGCAAGCACCCGCACGCAAGCTTGGCTAGGGTGCCTAGCAACCCTAGCCCTTTGGCTTGGATGCTAGGAACATAGCCTTGGTTTAGGGCTTGCGATTTTGTGGTTATGGTTTAAAATGAGACTAGGCCTCGGTTTTTCACACACTAGCAAGAATTTTGACAAAATTTATTTTGATCGACTTCATTAATTTTAATTAGATTAATTTTTATTATGTTGGATGTGGAATTTAGTGGGAGCTTCATTAATCGGTTTTGAGCTTGATTAAGTCTTAATTGTGTTTTTCGATATTACATTAATAAACACAATTGGCTAAAAACTTGACTATTTTTAATTAGGTGTGTTAATCGGATTAACCGCCTAAGTTAGTAATTAGTATGCGCTCGTTTGATATAATGTTTTGCATTGTTGCTTGTATTATTTGTAAAACTGCATGGGCCATTCACTTTAGATATGAATGGGTGAATAGAATATTATAAATGTTCTGATGCAGGTTTTTACAAAAAGGCAACTAGTATGACCTAATTAGGATAGTAAATACGGATTATGTTCCGTTACGTAGTGTTGTAAATCTTAATACGGACTACTTGTCGTTAAGTATTTTTGTACTTAGATTATTTAGATTAGTCCTGGTTACAAGTAGTTGCATACTTGATGTTAAAGTCTTAAGATAGCGTTTCTAAGAAAACGAAGCCAAGAAGATGCAATGCTGGCCTTGAAAATTGGATGCTTCAAGTTTCAAAGGGTCATTCTAGTTTGCCAATGCATATTTAATTATCTTTTACATATATTTGCTTATGTATATAATTGCAATATTAGAAGCATGTTTAGGATTTCGAATGTTGAATGATTAATTTAGTTCACTTAAATCAATCAACATAGAAACCCTAAGTCCCTATAATATTGAGTTAAAATTTGCCATTCCAAAATGACACTTACCGAACTAATGAGAATTGTAATGGGTTATGCCAAAGCAAGGAATTACTAGTTTCCTAGGGAAGTAAGGTATACTAGGTATACGCGCTAGTTTTGGTTAAGCTCAACGATATCGGTAAGGAGTCCTTAGATGTCGTGGCAATGGAGATAAACGTCAAGAAAGCATTAGATGTAACGATTTGTCGAACCAAGAATAGCTTAAAGCTATTAGAAATTAGATTGCTTACCTTAAAATATTAAGTGTTAAGACAAGCCAAAGCATGCTTAATCAAATATTAAGTGTTAAAATAAGTTTGCACGTATGCTTTAAATTTTAAACTTGTTGGTTTTATGAATGGTTATTCATTGCAAATTTTTTCATTTGTAGAAAAATGCCTGCAATTAACAAAAACATGTGCCCGGAACTCCCCGACAAGTTGGCTTTATCCTAAACTAGGTTAATTTCAAGGAATGGGAAGAAGAACTCTGGAAAACTCTACGGAATAGTTCCATTGAGTACATATTGGAGACACCCATAACAAGCTTCTTCATTAAGGGACTCAGAGTGATGAGAATCATGAAACTTGGTCTTTGGATTGTGACAAGGTCATAAAATTAATGAGGAACTCCATTCCGGAGGATTGGAAGAGGAAATTCACCTCATACCTTCCGGACATGCTTCTTAGCAGTCTTAAGGAGCGATTCAACATGTCTTCTGAGACTCAAGACTTGAATATTCATAACTTGACTAGGTCATTTGTGAACATGAAAATCAAGGCCTCGAAGGAAGGTTGTCTTGCCAAGGAGAGGTACCGAGTTTGGTCTAGGGTCTACAATCCCATATTGGGACCCAGTATGCCCCTCCAACCCTATGTGCTTAGAATTACTAGGTTCTTTAAGCATATGGAACCTCTTAGAATCCCATTAGAGGATGAGATGGCAGGTCATAACTTGCTTATCTCACTCCACTCGGGCTATAATGCTCTTAGGATGCGTAAGACAGCCGGGATGGAGTCAAACTCATTGAATGAGGTAGGTCAAGTGCTATGCAAGGCCGACTCCTATGGAGCTACTGAGATGCCTTTAAGAGTGAAGATGAAGGAGTTCAAGAACAAAGCGAAGATGCGATACTTTTATTGTGGTGGGCAAGGCCATTACAAAAGGGAATGCAAGATCTTCCGAGAAGATGAGGAAAAGGGGAATGCTTCATCCACCTTAGGTATCTTCATTGCAACCTAACACTTGTGTATAAGCAATTCATAAGTATTGGATATCATATATGACTCACATTATGTTCCTATTTCAGGGACCAAGGGAGAGGCTTCACAAGTGAATGTAAAACTACAACCGGATGATGAAGATAGTCCTTCTGTCGTGTTTGTAGGCACAATATTTGTCTTTTGAGATGTCATAGAACTTATTTCGTTTTATTATGTGCTACTTATCGTTGAATATATTATAATCTTTGGCGTTGGATGCCGGGTAGTTTTTTATCACCAGACAATGACAATGGTTCTTTTACATATCTCGATTGTATGTTCTATGGTATTTCACATTTATATATGTGCTTTCATTAGACAAACAGGGTTATAATGTTTACAATATAGCCAAAACATTAAGACCAATAAGTCGAATCAAACCTACTTGTGGCATTTTCGTCTAGGCCATATAAACATCAAACGCATCAAGAAAGTTCTACATGAAGGGATTCTTAATTTATTCAACTTAGAGTAGTTTGAAAACTGCTAAGGATGTCTACTTGGAAAGATGATAAAAACAACCTTCATCTAAGTTAGGAAAGAGGGCAAGTGACTTATTAGGGCTCATACGCACGGATGTATGCGGACTAATGCGCACAACTGCAAGAAATGGTTATCGCTATTTTATCACATTCACGGACAACTATAGTAGATTAGGCTATGTCTACCTAATGGTGAACAAATCTGAATCCTTTGAAAAATTTAAAGAATTTCAAAGTGAAATGGAAAATCAGCTTGGCAAGAAAATCAAATCCCTTCGATCGGATCAAGGTGGCAGTATTTGAGCTACGAATTTGACAACCAATTGAAAGAACATGGTATTCTCTCATAATTGACACCTCCCAGATTTCCACATTGGAACGGAGTATCCGAGAGGAGAAATCGAACTCTGTTAGACATGGTTCAATCCATGATGGGTCTTACCGATCTTCCTATCTCCTTTTGGGGACATGCACTTCAAATCGCGCTCCGTCAAAAGCTATCATAGACTCCATATGAATTATGGACGAAGAAACCTCCACGGTTGTCTTTTCTTATGATTTGGGGTTGCAAAGCATATGTCAAAAGACTTATGTCTGACAATCTTGCACCAAAATCTGAAAAATGTTTTTTTGTGTGGTGTAAAAAAGAAACAAAGAGGTATTACTTCTACAATTAATCTGAGAACAAAGTGTTTGTTGCTCGAGATGATGTCTTTTTGGAGAGGGAGCACCTTTCCAAAATGACAAGTAGGAGGAAAATTGAACTTGATGATGCTCGAGTAGATGATCTGAGCAACAAAATAAATCTGATAAAACTGAAAATTAAAGGGCTTTGGAAGCAGCTGTTGATAATGGTCAAAGTTAAATCGACAATGTTAAGAGTTAAATCACAAAGGCCAAGATCTCAACCGAACAAATACTTCGGTGTTGTCTTAACCAAGAATCAAAACATCCTAGTTATGGATGAAGACGAGCCAGCGACATATAAACAAGCTATGACGAGCCCCGACTCCGCTAAATGGCTAGAAGCCATGACATCCGAGATGGATTCCATGTTTGAGAATCAAGTCTGGGACTTGGTTGATTTTCCCGAAGGTTATACATATATCGGTAGCAAATGGATTTTCAAGTTGAAAACCGACAAA